TTCGGTGACTAACATACTGAGACTGAAGAAAAACCAAAGAAAAAATGTAGTAAAGGTAATGTAGACGTAGATAAAGAAGTATTTTCTTGCCCAGTGATCGACGAATATATCGCGAAGATCTACAAATGTGTGTATGACTCGGTGTATGGGATAAAAACCAAACGTACTTGCAGTTTCGGTGAGTCCGGGATTGGACGCACCTCGGGTGGCTGGAAGTTTCCCAAACTCACCTCGCTTCGCTCGGTAAGTTCGAGAAACTTCCAGCCACCCTCGGTGCATCCAATCCCGGACTCACCTCCCTGCAAGTACGTTTGTTATAGTACGTGTTTCAACTTTATAGATTGGAATCAGTCTAGCTTTCTTCCACATGTTGGGAAAGACGCCATTTTCAAATGGTCGGCACTCATCCCAATATCTAGCACGCCTGATTTAATAACATTATCTTTCTTAGAGGTAAAGATAAGGTCAATATATAAACTTTGCTGTGGGTGGAAAGCGATCGGATTCAACCTCCTTCCCCGGCAGGGTATTCGCTCTTGATTGGATTAAGGGTTGTGTCCGGCTATTATTTGTAAAAAAGAACCTGATACTCAGCTTAGGCTAGCATCGCTTGAGTGCAGGCCATAGATTCAGCGAAACAGGAAACCCCCTGTTCCAGGGAAGAGTTTCCCCTTAGGACTTCTCAAATAGTTCTTACTAAGTTTAAGATAATCTCGAATTTTCACTTGAACCGAACACATTTTTGTCAACTGTATTTAGTCTGATGATGTCGCTTGTAACATGTGACGTTACTTAATAAATATTTTTTATATACCAAATGTTTTTTTGAATATGCCTCTTTAACGAATTATTTGCTGGGCAATAATATTTTTAACTAGGATCCGCCTTGTGTTTCTATTGCTGATACATTTTTGTTAATTTGCAGAAACTTTGAACATTTAATTTTTGTAAATAACCATGGGCTAACCAACCAGGACATTCAAATGCTTACACCTCAAAGTCACATACCTGCAATTCTCAGTGACAATTCTTCAATTGCATTTCTCGCCATATTTCTATTTTGTTTATTTTCTAGTTCCTTTGCAATTTCCAAGGCTTGCTCATAGTATTTAATTCCCGTTTCAAACTGATTGTTCAATGTATAAACATCTCCTAACCCAAGGTATGCCATTGTCTCCTCAACTTGATCTTTTCGTTCTTTTACAATTTTCAAGGCTTGCTCGTAGTATTTAATTGCCGTTTCAAACTGATTGTTCAATTTATAAATATATCCTAACTCAAGGTATGCCCTTGTCTCCTGCATGCACGCCGGGTCAGCTCTTCCCAAAAATCGGCCATCTGATATAAACTTTTTCAATATATTTCGGATGGACATGAAACTTGCTACATCAATATAACTTTCCATTCCGAACAATCGTATGTTTTTTATTTTTGAGATTTAACGGTTTTT